AAATTTTTTGTAGAGTAATGTGACACTATGCTCCAGAGCATAATATTTGACTCAACCTTAAAAGTTACCTTTGGACCCCAAAATTCTACTTACAGAATTTTTCCTACAGAAATAACTAATAACTTGCATAGAAATTCATATATCTCAAGGGTATTCTCTGAAATACTAGTTAACATATTAAAAGGCTGGAAATAACAGAATTTTCCCCAAAAGAAAAATAGCGAAATAAATTGTGGAACATTAACAGAATAGAGGACTACACAGCCATTGAAAACAATGTTTTAAAGGAGGCGACATATGTAGCAAATCAATCAGAGGGAGGAAAAGACTCTCGGAGGAAAGGGCGCCAATGCAAGTATGCAGATAGGCAAGCACAAATCATGCATGGGAAATGGTAAATAATTTATTTCAGAACACTAACCATTTGAGAAGAAACAGTGGACAGGAAAGAACTGCCTAGAATATGGGTGTGCCATATGCATCACTGAACTTCATCACCTGAGCAGTACCGTGGAGCTGGTTAAGAACATAAGCTTTGGAGCCAAAGACCTGCAACCCGATATTCAAACTCAGCTTTTTCATCTACTACCTGACAAGTGAATCTGAACCTCAGGTCCCTATCTAGAAAACTGAAACAATACCTTTTCATACCACGATTATAAAAATGAAATAAAATGATGATGTATGTAGGGTACTGTGCATGCTTGTAGCACAGTGAGTACTAATAAACAGTAGTTCTTTTATATTAAACCACTATGCAAAAAAGTAAATTGTAAAAGCAGTGTGGAAGTAGAAAGTTACCATTGTTAAAGATTTGCATGGTACTTATTTCCAAGTAATTGCTTAATTATATCCATCAATAAGCATGTGGGATGTAAGTTTATTTGCCAGTGGAGTAGCATATTTCAGCCATACCCGTAATTGAGAACATAATCATATACTGCCTCTTACTGTTTCACAGGAGAATTGACTGTCTGTGATAATCACAGACAAAAATTATTTAAAGACTAGAATTTGTGTCTCTGTTTCATTTCTATCATTAGCAGTCCTCATAATTTATAAAATGCTTTTGCACTGCTAATTTTAGCTGTGAGAGTGTCAGTGTAAGTGCTGACTGTCCTGCTTTACTGGTCAATCACTTGCTCAGGTCTGCAAAAGCAAGGGAAGTAGACTTCACCTTTTAGTTTAGACCTACTGCTGCCATTTATTTTTTTTTTTTTATTTTTTATTTTTTTAAAGATTTTATTTTTTCCTTTTTCTCCCCAAAGCCCCCCGGTACATAGTTGTGTATTCTTCGCTGTGGGTTCTTCCAGTTGTGGCATATGGGACGCTGCCTCAGCGTGGTCTGATGAGCGTTGCCATGTCCGCGCCCAGGATTGGAACCAACGAAACACTGGGCCGCCTGCAGCGGAGCGCGCGAACTTAACCACTCGGCCACGGGGCCAGCCCCTGCCATTTATTTTTTATAAATGTTACCCATAACTAAACACTTTGACTTATTTCATAGTTCCAATTCGTAAGAGCCTCTAAGATAGTCACTAGGTATAAACTATTTAAGTAAAGCTATTTGAAGAAAAATGATGGTGGAGAAATAATTATCTAACTGAAAAAACTTAGCGTATTTTAGAAGCTATTTAGAAAATATCACAGTATATTTATATGAAACATTTTCAGTGAAACATTTTCAGTGAAACATTATTCTACGTAGTAGAATAAAATGAGATTCATGAGGTTTAAATAGAATGAACAACAATTTAGAAAATACAGAAAAGAAGACAACGCTTTTATATTATATTAATGTTATGAGTATGTTAACAAAGTAAAAAGGATCAGCTAAGGTTGGGAAGTTATTTCCAGTTCTGACACTTCATGATGGCTGCTGGCTTGATCACCACTATTGCTGACGTAATTTTTCAAGTGTAAATGTCATTTACTCAAAACCTACTATTTGCCAACATTCAGTACTAACATTCCAGAAATACGGTAAATTGAAGTACTGCTATACCTATCTTCAAGAGACAAGATAACTAAACAAATGAACAAAAATGCTTTCATCTCCAAAGAAAGTAAAATAAAACCAGGACTTAAGTAAAAAGTATTTTGGGGGCCAGCCCCGTGGCCAAGTGGTTAAAAGTTCTGAGTGCTCAGTTTCAGCGGGCCGGGGTTCGGATGCCAGGTGCAGATCTGCTCCACTCATCAGCCATGCTGTGGAGGCATTCTACATACAAAGCAGAGGAAGACTGGCACAGATGTTAGCTCAGGGCTAATTTTCCTCAAGAAGAAAAAAGAGGAGGATTGGCAATATATGTTAGCTCAGGACGAATGTTCCTCACACACACACACAAAATTTATTTTGTTTTGTTTTTATTTTTGATCAAGGTTATTAAGTACAGAACAACATTTTAAGGAAAATTATAGCAGAATCTATTCCTAAGGGTATCTTTGAAAATTTCTTTAAGAACATGTACCGGATGCAAGGTTGCTTCAGATCCTTAAATTTCCTAACTTTCATTACTCCAAAAAGAAAAAGGAAACATTTACTGAGTATCTACTAGGTACAAGATACTTTAGTGGGATAAAATCTAACACATTTAGAATGTATTTCCTACTAATACGATAATTTTCAATGTCAGACTTGCCACTAGGGGGAGTTTATCTTGTTTAATATAATTCAACTGACGATTGGAAGAACTTCAGGTTAAAATTGTCATCTTCTTGATTCCAAAATTTTATGGAATTGTATATTCAAATGGCCATCTTACTAACAGTCACATAATTATGCTACAATATATTTTCTCTTTCAGGAAATAAAATGGCTATCATCTAAGGGGTCAAAGTTAAATAGATCTCAATAGCATTTTTAGCCTAAACAAGATGTATTTTTCTGACAACGTTGGCATATTTTAGACCCCATTAGCTCCAAGCTGTAATTTAGCTAAAAAGTTCATATTCAACTTAATATTGAGTTTAATGGTCACATTCCTAAAATGAACTTTGATTAACTGTTTATAAAGTTAACTATTTTTCATTTGGGTAAAAACAATTGATAAACAATTCCACATGATTCTGTAAATGCCAGCACTAAGCGTTTCTTATGGAGCAATGTAGTGACATTTTAATGCATTTATATGATTAGAAGTAATGCATGGTGCTCAATAAAGATCTGATAAACGTCTATACTAACTAAAAAAAACAAAATGAGGGTAAATGTGGGAAATGTTTTAGTTATATTGTAGTACAAGAGATTATTAAATACAATATGTTAAAGTCTTAGGAAGTATATTAAGATGTTAAGATGAAATAATAAAAGGTACATGTTACCTAAAAAGAAAATGTAATACGTTTAAAGGGAAGATCTTTAATAAAAGGTTAACTAGGAGCCAAAAATAAACTTTATAATGAATAAAAAATTAAGGTTTTTGATTTTTCTTAAAAAAGTCACCTAAGGTCCTTTTGCAACACTGACTGAAACCCACTAACTTAAAAATCCATCAGGGAGATCTTCAAGTTTTCTGACCACACACATAAAACCCATGATACCTCTATTATGTATTATGCTATTGTTTTAGTAATTACATAGAACAGGCATTTGTAATGCCTCTCAATGTTAAATAACCATCAAGGTTAAAGTCAAATTAGGCAAATACATTTTTATATAAGAAACCACTCTACAAAATGCATGTATTGTAAACCAATGTCACAGAACAGCCAAGACAGAAAATTGCTGACTCGGCAGTATTCCTAATGTCAGCCACACTGCAGGCTAAGACTTCCAAATTTTAATCAGTCTATTTATAGATGAATATCCTCTGTTAATGCCAAGCCTAGTTCTGAAGAACTGTGATCACTGAAATTCTAAAAGGAAATGAAAGCTCCGGAATAATGAAACTTTTAAACCAAGTTACTGATTTTAAATAGAAATCTTAAACTGTTATTTTTCTGGTTTGGATTAGTGACCTAAGTTTTAAGCAAAATGCATACTTCTGACTTGCTCTGACCAAACCTTTAACATGTTCTTAAAATTGTTTAGGAAAATCTGAAAAATGGGAAGTAAAGTAATAGGAATAAACACATGAATACAGCCAACTCAACAAAAGTGAACCTGTCTAGCACGGATTTTTTTCTGAAAAAAAAATTATTTTACAGTTATTTGCCATCTCACACAAATAGCTCACCAAAACAAACAAAAAATCTAAGTTTGTCATCGTTCTATTAGAATTGACAAAACTTTGCAGCAGGGGAAAAGCAAATTAGAGAAAGATGCTTAGAAGGAAACGTCTGTTTCAATAATTCCAGTTCCAAATCTTGTATTTTACACACCCTAACACTACCCCAAAAATGAAACGAAAGCTCCCTACAAAGGTGGCTGAAAACACAAATCCCCCACTGTATCCTGTCCATTATACTCACTCACACCTGATACCATCTCTCTACATTTTACCAATATGGTCACATTGAGCGCTACAAAATTATTGCCAAATAAGTAAATAAGAGCCCAACGGAAAACCAGGTGCACTGGCCCAAAAAATACCTTCAGAGGCACCCAGCCCCTTTCTGCACACAGCACGTGTTCAGCTCTTTAAAACATCTCGCCCTACCGGGAACGAGAATTATGACCGTCCTCTAACCTAACCGATGAGGATATTAAAAGTGGAAAGGGATTTCAAGCCGGACTTAGGTTAAGTAATCCACCAGCCCCACATAGCCGACCAGAGCTGTCAACAAATTAGGACCACAGCAGAGAGAAGAGAGCAGCAAATGGGTGGGGGTGTCAGAGGGTGCGTGTGCGCTGGGGACAGGCGGGACAATTTTTAAAATGCAATAATTCAAAAAGGGAAAAGCCAAGGCCTGGGTCTCTCAACCGGCCTCCAAATCTCGATTCCACGGGCTGTGTCCGGAACGGACCTAATCCCCAGCCCGCGGGGATTTGGGGTCGGAGGGCGGCCGCCCCCGGCACCCGCGCGCCCACCCCTCGCCGAGGACGCGCTCCCGCCACTCACGTTTTCTGCACTGGCTTCCGCCGCTTGCGACTGGCGTAGGTGATGTTGGCGCTGCTGCTGTTCATGGTGCCCGACCGGCGGCGGCTCCTCCCCGGGCGCGGGTGCGGACGGCCCAGTCCCCGGGACCCGGCGGCGACTCGGACGGCGGCGGCCGGCGCCGAGTTCCACGAAGCCGCTCCCGCCGCTCCACCTGCGTCCTCCCCGGGCGGTGGCGAAGACGCCGCGCCCCGCGCGCCTTGGCTCCCGCAACCCCGCGCGCCCAGGTGAGCCGCCCGGGCCTGGCGCCGGAGGGCGAGGGGCGGATACCGGGGCGCGAGGCGGCGCAGGTGCCCTCTACACCGGCGGAGGCGGCGCGGCGCTGCCCACAGGTGAGGCGGCCCGGGCGGAGGAGGAGCCTGTTTGGAATGCCGGCCTGGGTCGCGCGCGGTGCCGCCGCGCCCCGTGACCGTCGCCGCGGCCCCTCGGGTAAGGGAGGCGCCGCCGCGCTGCTCCTGGGGCTTCCCCGATCCTGGGTGCTTCCCGCCCGCGGTGCTCGGACTCCGGCCGCCACTCCCGGTGCCACCAGCTTCCGCTCTGCTACGCAGCTGCCCCTGGTCTGCGCCAGTGGTCCTGGGCACGCTCCGGGGATGGAGCGTCGAGTGCACCCGCACGGCGTTGCCTCCCGCCGCCGCGCGCACCGGCTGAATAGCAGCAGCGCCCCCGACCCCTCTCCGGCCCCGCCCAGCCCCTCGTGGCCCCGCCCCTCCCGATTGGCCCCGCCCTTCCACTCCGTCTCCCGTGAGGGCCCCACCCTCCGTGCACGTGGTTACGTAAGACGTAACGACACCTCCCAGTAGCCATCTTCTTGAGGTCGTGGAGTAGCGTTCCGTGGCCACGTTTGCAGCCCGGAAAGAGGTGTGACAACAGGTTACGTCTTGTGGCCAAACGTTTTGTAGCTAGATTATCTCAAGGATAGACATGCCGGATAGTGAGCTTAACTTCACCTATGTGAGAGTCAGTGACTCAGCTAACCTTTGGCTAAGGATTGCAGTGAGCTGGCGGATAACCAGTGGGACTCTCAATTTTCCTAGAGGGGAAGGCTTCAGGAGGCCACATCTGAGTTAGAAGGCTAGGAGTTTCCTTGGCGCTTTTTTTTCTTGTCTCCATCCTAAACAATATATCTCTTCCTTAGCCAGAATAACTTTGTTATTTCAATAAGGTTGAAAGGAAAGAAGCAAGGAAGAAGGGAAGCACGTGGCATTTGGGGATAAGTAGTTTGGTATGGTTGGACAGAGGAGATAGAAGTGAAGTTCTGGAATTCTATGATCAAATCATAGAGCCTTGATAAAGAGTTTGGATTTTATTCTGTAGGCATTGGAAACCTTTTAAAGATACTTAGCGGGAAAAATGACGTTCTGGTTTCTTGGAAAAGTCACTCTAGGAGGAAAGGGCAAACGATTACAGGAGAGCAGTAGTGGATGCACAGAGAGTAGTTCAGCAGTTGGTGAAATAGTCCGGGCGAAAGCCCCGGGAAGTGGCAGTGGGGATGGAGAGAAGAGAGAAGATTCAGATGATGATAGAAAAGGATAAGAAAATAGGGGAAGAGAGAGCAATCTCAAACGGCTTCAAGATTTCTGACAAGAATTCTGTGCTGTTAACCAAGATAGTGAACACAGAGGAGAATGTCTGCTTTTCAGGAGCAGAAGGGCGTCCAGATTAAGATATCTGGATGACATCTCACACCATACCCATTCCAACGTTTTAAAATGACTTCAAGCTGTTTCCACCTGGTAAATTTGTTACCTCCACTTCGGCGCATCAATAAATTAAACTCATCATTTTCTTTAGCTGAACCTTTGTCATTGGCTCTACCATTCTCCACATCAACCTATGAATCATGTTCAACTTGTCTGATACTTATGTCTAAATATTCCAGCAAATGCTATTAAATTTTCCAAATATTCTAAATATTCCAAATTAGAAATATTTGTAATTTTAATTTCTAATTTCTAATTCCAAATTCTAAATTTTCCAGAATGGAAATATTCCAAATTCTAAATATTCCAAATTTTCTAACTATTCCAGCAAAAACTATTAAATGGGGGGCGGAGGGGAGAGATGAGGTGTGAAAGACTGGCCTTCAGCTAACATCTGTGCCAGTCTTCCTTTATTTTATGTGGGATGCTGCCACAGTGTGGCTTGGTCAGTGGTGTTAAGTCCACGCCTGTGATCTGAACCAGTGAGCCCTGGCCGCCAAAGCAGAGCACAGGATCTTAACCACTACTTCCCCAGGCGGGAGCCAAGAAATACTATTAAATTTTGTTCTCTGCAATATCCCTAATTCATCTCCCTCCACTTTATTCTTCAATAATAGCAGAGAGAGAGTGCCTAGCTCAGATGCCATACCATGTGGGATTCCTAAACTGATATTATCCCCTCCACACATTAATTCAATCGAGAGATTTGAGGGTAACCCCTATGTAACAGGAATTGTTCTAGGACTGAGGGGACAATGGTGAACAAAAACAGAAATGTCCAGGCATTCCTGGTGGCATAGTGGTTAAGTTTGCTCACTCTGCTTCAGTGGCTCAGGGTTCACGGGTTTAGATCCGGGGCACAGACCTATACACCACTTGTCAAGCCATGATGTGGTGGTGTCCCACATATAAAACAGAGGGAGATTGGTACAGATGTTAGCTAAGGGACAATCTTCCTCAAGCAAAAAGAGGAAGCTTGGCAACGGATGTTAGCTCAGGGCCAGTCTTCCTCACCAAAAATAGTAAAAGAACAAACCCAGAAATGTCGTGTGCTTTCAGGGAATACTATAATGGAGAAGTACATGACTCAGTATAATCTGGTAGTAGATAAACTTGACCTTGTCATTGAGGCAAAGATAGATGGTGATTGAGCTGAGGTCTGAAGGATAAAGTAGGGTTACTTGGGAGAAAGCAGGGGAAGAGCACTCCAAGCCAATGAAAGGGTACAAGCAATGTCCCTTTAGTGGGAAGGACCCTGGCAGGTATGAGGGACTAAAACAAGTTCAATATGAGCGGGGGAGAAAGGTACAAATGATCAAATGTGTGTTTCAAAAATATCACTGTATCTGCAGGATGTAGAACAGATTAAAGAAGGAGGAGCAGGGTGGAATGGGTGGAAGTAATACTCTAGGAAACCATTTGCAGTAGCCCAGCCAAGAGATGACAATTATTGACACTAGGATGGAGGTGATGGTGGAGATGGAGAAAATTGATAGATTCCATAGATATTTGGGGCATCTTGGAAGATGGAGTAGATTTATGACAGTGAGGGAAGAGGATGTGTCAAAAACACAATAATAGTGTTCTGAACTATGTATCTGGCTATGTGATAATGGCATGTACTGGTGGGAAAATATTAAGTTAGCTTTGGATCTCTAATGGTTGAAGCACATTTGAGATAGCTAAGAGAAGATGTCAAGTAGGCCATGAATATACTTGTAACTCAAAGAGGATGTATAAACTGGAGATATAAATTCAGAAGTCATTTGCATTTAGGTGATGAGAATGTGGAGGTTGTAGGGTGCGAATATATACTAGAAAAGAAGGAGTGGGCCCCAAAGAACTTCAATATGTAATATCTAATTGCTGGATAGAAGATGATGGTCCCATAAAACTGAATGAAAAGAGTTGCTAGAATGATCACAGGAAAGTAAAGGAACTATCGTGTTATGGAGGCCAAAGAGGAAGAGTGTTGGGAGTGGTTCACAGTAGTGAATGTTGTTGAGAGGTTCAAATGAGATGAGAACTGAAAACGTCTTTTTTGGCTTCTCAACACGAGGTCATCGGTGACTCTAGTGAACGCTATGTTGGTGGGCTGGTGGCCCTGCAAGTCAGATTGAAGTGGGTGCAGCATTGAATTGGAGATGAAGAAATGACATCAGCAAGCACAGACAGTTCTTTCTTTAAAAGTTTGGCTGTGAAAGGGAGAGACCTAGAATGGTAGCTAGGGGGAGTAAAGGGTTAAATTAGGGTTTGGTTTGGTTTGGTTTTTAATGAAGGATACTTAAGCAGTTGAGAGACGAGGGAGAGCTTGAGACCGCGTGAGAAAGACAAAGAATAGTAAAGGAACAATAGATACTAATTAAAAATAGTAAAGGCAGGAGGGAATGAGTGCCAAAGAAGAAAGGGGGAATTAGGATTATTAGATTAGATAATAGCAGAAAGAACTCCTGTAGTGCTTTCCTCTTCAAAGTGGTCCACAGCTTCTCATGGAAGTGATAGGAAATGCAGAACCTCTGGTATCCTTACTGAGTCAGAATCTGAATTTAACATGATCTCCCAGGTGATTCAAATGTACGTGAAGTTTGAGGAGTATTGCTCTACAGAAGCTGGAGGAAGAGATGATGGTGGGTGAGATGGAGTGGGCTGGGGTACTTTTGGATCAGAAAGATGAAGATGTGATGAGGAGGGTAGCAAGACTGACGAAGGAGCAGATGTGTTTTGTGGTTGATGGTTTTTGTTTTATTGTAATTTTATAAGACTATAAAGTAAAAGTGATGCAGGATGTGGCAACAGGGAACTAGGTGGACATTAACCCTATATCTTGGATGTATGATGAGAAAAAATAATTAGGTACCGTATGGGAGATAACAGCCTCAGGGAGAGCCAGTTTTCAGTTTAAGGCAAAGGATGGAGCAAGCTCCCAAAGAAGACGGTGCATGGCGGGGAGTTCGCTGTTCATGAATTAGCAATTCCAGGGGCACAGAGTTAACCGTAGTCTCTGTCATACTTTCTCCTTGATTTCTTCATCTCTGTATTCTTATTCATAGCCATTCTATCTAAAATGTATAAAGTCTAAAGAAATAATTTCCTCCTAGCATAGGAACTTTAAGGATGAAAAATGCATGTCAAAACATAATTTATTGATTCTGTAGCTTAAAGTTCCTTTTCAGAAAAGGGATATACTAAATGTACTGAATTGCATGAATCAATCTTAATTTAGTGTTTTAAAAAAATGTCCACCTTTTTAAGGTTTTTGGTTATTTGGTACAATCATTCTCTATCTTATTTTGTCCTACTTCCGTACCCTTATTTTGTTTTTTACTTTAGGACTGTTTTCATAATCCAGAAATCTTATCATGCTATACTATATTAGAATTAGTTTAGTAATTGATCTTGGTGTACCAAGATTAGAATAGAATATCAATAAGATTTTCAGAATTCGTTTTATTTTAATAGTGACACCATGCACTTCCCTTGAAATTTTTGCTTAGTATGTCAATAAAATCAGTCTTTCTAGTATAATGCCATTACCAAAAAAAGAAGAAAAAAGAATGAGGTGCTGCTTCCTAGAAACTATCACTTTCTGTTCTAATAGCACCACTGTAGAACATGGTTCTCAAAGTGTGGTTTGTGGCCATCACTAAAATTTTTAAAATTTCTCTGAGCAATTTTTATGTAATAACATGATTTTTTCTTATAACAATTAATTTCCCTATAAATGTTTATGAGTATTTGACTGCCTTATCCAAAGCACCATTATCCTTTTATTTAGTTGAGGTGAGATGACTTTCTGATGCAACTATATGTCTATGGGTTCCTTTTTCTTGCTAAATATTATGAGACAAAGAAGTACGTTTAAGGAATGCTATTATAAATAATAGCTGTTTTAGAATAAAGGAAAATAACTAAACTGAGTGGTACCCTATTCTGTTACAGTACATGCCTTCATTCA